CATGGACACTTCTCTGTAGTATATAAGGACTTCAGATTGTGTCCTCCCTCTTCAGTCTTTCCTTACTGACTGAAGAGTGAGTACTTCCTTACCTCTACCTTTAACTGTCACAGCCAACGAGCTGTGCCACCAAAACAAACAAGGGCAAAGCTTACTGATGCAGAGGTTGGTGCTGAGAAGCGAAGCAACCAGAGGTGACGCAGCAAGAGATGTGAAGAGATGTATTCCCTAGACTAGAAGGGGTAGTGAGGGAGGTAGGGCTGCTAGCTACCTACAGAGGAGATGGGGAATCGACGAGAAGATCAAGTCTGAGGTTCCCTGCCTCAGACTCCCTACTATATATACTAATACAATGGTGCACAGACCAGGTACCTATTGACCATCGTTTGGTCAGAGTTCTCTGCCTCATGTCCTGCCTCATGGTGACCTTACGACTAATACCTGAGTCGTGCCGAGTCCGGACCCCTCCCAATGAGTAAGCGCTCCTGCTGTCACATCAGTCACCTGTCTGTGAGTGAGGATGGGCGCTCCTGGCCATCACGAGGTCTGGGGTTAGATCCTGGCCCCTCCACTTTCCGATACGAGTTGTCCGCGGTCAAGGTGAGTGTCTGTCTCAGTACACATGACCCCCAGGTCACGTGGCACGAGAAAACTGTGACATTAACTTGTAGTTACTTACTTGACCTTTGTAGTCTTGCTTCGACTCTAGGTACAGTTGGTTACTGCAATATAGTCTTTCGTTACTGACTGAAGATCTTGCTTCGACTCTAGTCGGATCTGATCCTTGTCTTCACAGCCCCGAGTTTATCAGGCACAATGTCCATAACGGTGCTAGAGGATGTTGGACACAGTGGCACATCAATATGGTTGGTGTGATGGGGCGTGGATCGTTCGCTACGACACAGGGATGGTCAGAGAGATTTGGAGGAAGGGAGGATGAAAGACGTACCAGAGAGGAGGGTGGCTACGTCGGGATTGCATGCCAACTGCCAAGTATGGCGAGCGTCTGTGGGTATATTGCGCATGTTAGGGTGATGTGCGGTAACTATTTGCATGCAGCTCACCCTCAGAATGTTGCAAGGTCGATAGCCTTGGTAGTCGCATCGACGAGATCCCCTATATGCAAACCTGCGGGTCCAGCTACATGAAGAGTCTCAACGACGTGACCATGCTCGATGCGTGGAGTGTACGTGAGGAGGTGGTTGCGCTATAGTCCATAATCGTGGCTTCAGCGAGGGTTCTTCGACTGGATGTTCGACACTCTAGAAATCACATTCAGCTCCTAGCGTCGTGTTGAGACGGAGGTGGTGGATAGGCACGGAGCACGGAGGTATGCATGGTGCAGACACGGAAGGGAGTGAGTGGGATGGATGGAAACTTACCCAACGCGACCCCCTATCCACTGGAGAAAAAGAACGTCCGCTCTGTTGCGGTTGCCGTGAGGTGCCTGCATGCGGCGATGGTCACGTTCACAGACTCGATCCGCATCTCACTGAGCTTTTGGGATAATTCATTCTGAAAGTAGGATGACCAGAGGGTCTAAGGTGGTAAGGCCAACAATGGTGGCGTGGAGGACGCGAGCAGACAAGAATGCCAGCGCTGTACACACGGGTAGAGCCAGTGTTTCGAGGGGGACGGGTGATTTGGGGCTTCGGCTGTCAGTTGCAACAAGCCCCAAATGAGAGGACTGGGTATGGCGCAAAATGCAGGTGCAGCACAGTATAGCCTAAACGCAAACAGACTCGAAACGTTGGAGACATTTCAGGGCCGAACAGAGGATAAAGGACATACCACGACATTCTGTGCGAGGTTGTTGATTGTAGCCGGAGTCAACCCATGCAGTCTGGGCGATTATCACAGGGAGACAAACAAAATGTGAGATCGGCTGCACAGGGAAGTAACATCATGACAGCAGTTTGAGAGAATCATGCCTCAGTGAATGCTCGAATGACAGGGGACAGCGATGGGACAGCTAGGGCTAAGCGCGCAGCGAGCTCCAAGTCCAACTTAGAGCTAATACTATCGCGACCCCAGTGTTCGGACAACTGAGCGCCCAGTACAACTGTTCGCCACGTCGCTCCCTCCTCTCTGCGGCGATAATCATGTAAATTTGTAGGATCATGCATCTACCATGATAGAACACACTTGAGAAATATGAAAGCACTCCGTTCAGAAGTGAGAGGACGGGAGGGCGAGGAGTGGGTCTTGACCCCGGTGTTCGGACATTTCTCCTTGGAGTGGTCATGAAAAGTCACATATGCCGAGAACTGCCAGTTAAGACTCCGACCCGAGTGTGCAGATTCGCGCGCACAGGCGCTCGAGCGGAGATTGACAATGAAGGACCGTCTTGTGGTGCAAGGTCACGCTCGATGGCCGGTATTCTACTGCACATCTTCTGTACCTCAAATACCTTCAAAAAAATATGCATCATATACAGGATTCCTAGAAAATGGTGCCAAAGTTTTCGGGGATGAGCGCTCAACAAGGAAGCTGGACCGAGTACCAACATTGCACATGGCTCATCTGCTGAACCTCTTCCTGCTACCAGATCGCAACAACACCTCGCTCAATCCACACCATTCTTTTTTTATCTGACTTGAGTCTCTACGTTGCATCATCGTGCAAATTTATAGCTTTATCAGACAGCAGGTGAGGGAGCCACGGTGGTTTGTCCGAACACTGGGGTCGCGATAGTAGAAGGCAATGACCACGGACTCTGGCTGACCAGACGCGCAAGAGGACGGGCCGCAAGCCGGACCGGGACTTGCCCCGTCGAATTTTGCGTCGCTCTAGGCTCCCTGCCTGCCGTACTCTCGAATCCACCTCTCTGACCGCCGACCATCAGGGGCAGAACAACACAACTTACTTTCCAGCCAAGACCGAAGCCGCAGCAGAGACATGCGTCGCAGAGTAAAAACGGATTTGCTTACTGCGCTACCCAATGTCCGAAGTAGCTAAGCCCAGAGCACGCTCAACAGTGGGTCAACATACACCGATGTGGTCGACTCAATAGTGGTCTGCGGACGTTGCAGATCCTTTGACTCATGGCCGGAGGCAGGGATCGTAGAGGCTGTCGGACTCAGAGGCTGTCGGACTCAGACGCCGCCGACCATGCCATTTGTGCATCGAGTGCTGAACAAGGCTGTGGTCATGGGCTCGTTGGCCACTGGACAACGCCTTCCTTCCGTTGTGGCTGGCGGTTCTGACTACGTAACAGAAGGCGCATATTCGGGATAGAGTACTTTGCGTCCACGGAGAAACTTCCTCACGTCAGGTGGTAGACGCTGAACGGTACCATAGGCGAGACTCGAGGCTGTACTGGCGGTCGATCTGTATATATATATATATATTCAAGAGCAGACGTGCGAGGGGTACAAGGCGGGGTGCGGGTCAGCAGTGTACTGTACAAGTAGAATCAAGATTCGAATTCGTCCGGAACAATGTCCTGTAGCCGACGACCCAGAACAGTCCCATTGTACGCTGCAGACCACAACATTGTCCCGTCCGGAGTAAACGCTGCATGCTGGACCCATGAACCGTGGTCGAAGAGCTTCTTCATGCATGATCCCGTCCCCGTCTCCCACAGCCTCACCGTCTTGTCTTCAGATGCAGAGGCGATATACTTCCCACACGGTGAGAAGCATGCCGTGAACACCGCGCCCGTGTGCCCCTTGAGCGACCGGACCATGGCCCCTGTGTGAGTATTCCATATCGTCATCGTCCTGTCCACCGATGCTAAGAGCAGTAGCCGGCCATCTGGGGAAAAGACGACATCGCGGACCCAATCTTCGTGCCCCCGCAAGAGCAGGGGCGCCGCTCTAGTTGCTACGTCCCAGACACGGACCGTTCCACTTGTATATGAAGCAGCAACGTGTGTACTTTGCGGGCTGAATCTCGCTGTGGTGGGAAATCCGTCTTCGCAAAGCTCGCCGCCCTGCGGAAACTCGAAGGCCAGGTATGTGTCAGACGCAACTTCCAAGATGCCGCAACTGTCCCAACCGTGGACCAGAAGCCAGCGGCTGTCAGGGGAGACTAATGGTCTAAGGCGTGTCGTCTTGGCGCGGTCACGGGGTAGCGGTTGATACGTGCGTCCATCCCAGAGTCGCATAGTGCGGTCATCCTCTTGGGATGCAATATAAGCACCATCACTGGACCACGCGCAGCCTTTGAGAGGAGTAGGATGACCCTGGAGGGTGGCGACTTGATGCGGACTGCGACTGATGTCCCAGAATGCGACCATGCCGTCTTCACCGGTAGACGCGAGCCGTTGGCCGTCTGGTGAGAAGGCGAGATCCCTGACCTCTCCGCTACGGGCGAACCACTCTTGTAAGATGCATGCGTCTCGGGCATCCCACAGGATGATGGTGAAGTCCTTGGAGGCCGTCGCTACCCACCGCCCATCTGAGGAGATGACGAGTGCGGTGACATCCGAGTCATGCCCGGGTTTGCCCGCTACTCAAGTCAGCGTACAACTCAGGAGGCATTGTTGATGAACAAGACTCACACTTGACGTCATCTGGCAGCACCCATTTCTCGCTCAGTGGATGGAACGACAACTTGCTAAACTCGTCCGACCAGGAGATCGTCTTCCGTACATTCAGGATTGGACCACCGGAGGCCGACAATAGTACGCTGTGAGCGGGATAGCCGAGCAGGACCTCCTTCATGGCTGCACAAGCCTCCAAGTGGGCAGGTTCATGACATTCTTTGTATAGACAGCCGATGTCGTGATCCCAGAGGACTAGAGTGACGTCTTTCATCGCCGTCTGTTCTAGATTCCGTGACACCCGGATGGCGTCTTGGAGTTGCTCCGATTTGGCTTGGATCCACCATATCAAAGCTGTTGGGAGGTCCTCACGCGATTGTGGACGCAGCATATGTGATGATTCTAGTATGGATTGTATGAGGTATGTGAGTCTAAGTCGACGAGGAGACGGAATGAGAGACGCACGAGTACGTTGGTCGATTGCAAGTGTGCTAGTAGTCGCTCGGTGAGCTACGTGAAGTAGCGTCTCTGTGACGTGTATATGTACATTCCGTAGGATCTGAAAAGGCAACCCTGTTTTAGCGAATGGAAGAGCATAGATGATCGTGCACGTGATAGCTCTTACATTCAGTGTTCGCAGCTGCAGCCGACGACGTACATCAGTTGCCACAAAAGGATTGTGTGTTTGTAACGACAAATATTCGCAGGTGAGGTTCTCCATGTTCGGGAAGTTCACGAGGAAGTCGAGGAAGTCGACTTGTGAGTGGAAGGTAGCATTGCGGATCATCAGGCTCCGAAGACTAGTCGCGAATTGCATGCCAGAGATTGGAGTGGATTGGTTGAGTTCGGCGTTACGCACGCTAATAAGCGACCTCCCGGTGAATGTGACGTGATGAAGACGGGGGAGGATGGACAGCAATTGCAAGGGGAATGGAGAGTGTCCATTCCGCGGAAACGACAGAGATCGCACGACAAGCTGAAGGTGCGGCCGAGCTTGGACAGCATGGTAGAACCGAGATAACTGATTATGGCTCTGTATGTCGACATGTTTGGAGAGAACAATGGTGCTACGAGGATGGAGCTGGCTGCAGGTCAGAGCGAAGGCGCGCAGCGTCGCGGTGTCGTCCGAACAGTGGTTGATGGCCATCTCGATGACCTCCCATGGGAGCGCCGGTGATCGCATGAAGGGTGACACCAAGGATAAGGCTTTGACGGGTCCTTCTGTAGGAGCCATAACGGTGTGGTCAGAGTTGCAGGTAGGAAGTGCAGTGAGCGAGAGAGAGAGTAGGAGCACGGCTCAACAAGGAAACAATCTCAACATTTCGCACGTGGCTCGGGGCCTCCATCTGCATAGCAACCAATCAGTGGCTACGACATCTGTTCAAGACCTAGCATGATGCACGGATCAGGGAAGGAACGGAATAGTGCACGCGTGTTTTGTGAATGACAAGAGCAATACTATCCCTCAAGGGGTTTTGCAACGCCGGACACTGATTAGGTTGCCCCTTCCGATCGCCTGGGCCGATAACAGAAGTAAGTGTGTCTGTAGATAGCTGTCAGAGGTGGTATCTCGAATGGTGACTTTCGTGTACATACATGAAAGTGGGCGGGAATGAGGATGGAGACATGTTTGGTGCCTGGATTTTGGTTACGTTCAGTGGGTTTTGCAACGCTCGTAACATCGGGGTCACGCCGGCAAATTCAATCTCCGCATCGGCATCCTACGGCAACCAATGGAGAGAGAGGACGCGACAACTCCATCGTGAGGGTAGAGCGCGATGGAGCACGAAGGCATGGATTACTGACTATAGGTATATGATTAGGATGCACATACTAGGCTATAAGAATGTACAGTATGAAGGATTAGGGCGCAGGTAAGTGAACTAGTAGTATGGGACTGAGTGTGGTTCATGGTATGAGTAATAGGGGCGAGATGACGCTGTTTGAGATGTAGATGTGCTCGGAAAGGGGTTGGGGGGAAGACAGTACTCGGGAAGTGGGGTGAAAGGTAGAAGTGGAGGCCGCCCAACTGGGAGCAAAGGCGGCGGGAATACCTGAGAGTCGGAACTTGATGGATGTGGCGGCACATTCTCGCGCTCATGCGGAACAGGGCCGCGTTCACGCGCAACAAGACCGCGTTCTCGCGCGACATGACCGCGAGAATCTGGTGTAGGAGGGATGTCCATAGGAGCGCTGCAGGTTGCTGGGTGGTTGACAGTGTGGGAGTCGTTGCGAGGGGTGTCAGAAACAGGAGGGGCTTGCTGCTCAGCATTGGTGACGCGGTCTATGGTGGAGTACAGCTTCGTATAGCGGCGGTCTGAGCGATACTGGGGGTTGGCCAAGAGACAGGTGTGGATGGAGGTGCAGAGCTCCTCCTTGGTCCCGGTGAGTGGGAGGCTAAGGAGGTACGCGATCGCCTGAAGGTCGCACTTCTTCTTGGTCTTGAGCGCTCCTGTGAACTCTAAACTCGGATCGTCAGCAAGGTTGATCCTCCGCTTTCTCTCTGCCTCCTCCTTCTCTGCCTGCTTCTCCTTACGGTCTGCCTCCTCCTGTGCCTTTGCTGCCTTCTCTGCCTTCTGTTTTCTGTGCTCATCCATGGCCTCCGGACCCATCAAGAATTTCGCCTTCGATGTGAAGCGCTTGCCCTTACCGTGCTTCTTGGTCTCCTTCTGGGCAAGCCGCCCTTTCAGACCAACGATTGCCTTCGCCGCGTGGGCGCAGTGGGACTCGGCAGTGAGGCGGCGCTGGAACTTGGTGTTGTAGAGCCCCTCCAGCCGCTTCAAGTCACAGGTGAGTGCTTCAACTTTGTCTGCGGCAGACGTTTGGTGCGGGAGCGGTGTTTGGCGGAACTCAGGAAAATGAGGGCCGGGGAGCGGGAGGAATGTCGACAGTGCAGACAGCACTGAATCGACAGACGTGAGGGAAGCTGAGGCTGACGCACCGAGATCTGAGGGTGGGAGGTCGTCGACATCCATCGGAGAGGGGCTACGACTATAGGAGTCGCCGGTGTTTGGTGACCATGTCATGCTCGTCCTCGTAGTTGCTGGGATATCGTCTACATCCATGCTGGTTTCTTCAGCATGTGTAGCTGTGGATGTGTCTGGTGTAGCGGGCACGGGCTGTGGGTAGGAGACATCTGGAGGTGAAGCTGCGGACTCGAGCGTTGCTGGGACCACAGGGAAGGAGGGTGGGAGGTGTGCTTGCGTGGAGTACGGACGGCTGGGAGCGAAGTCGAGTTCAGAGAAGACATTGGGGTTGAACGGAGAGAGGCCGGTCTTGCGCCATGCAGCCTTTACGACCTCTGGGGTGACGGAGGCGTCTCGAACCTTGAGGTACTCTGCTACAAATTGTCCATGCTGTACCTCATTTCCAGATTCAACGAGCTTCTCGCAACAAGTAAGCCACTCGCGCTGCATAGGGCCAAAGCAGCCAACGTCGAGCGGCTGGAGCTTATGCGTCGTGTGGGAAGGTAGGAGATAGAAGTCGATACCGTACTGAGTTCCAAGATCAATGAAGGCATCGGTGAGGTGGGAATGGTGTCCATCGAAGATCAAAAGTACTCGCTCGTCTTCACTGAGTGTCTTTGCACGAGCTTGTGGGACAAAGACGTTCTCGAACCAGTATAGGCACTGTTCGTCATTTGTCCACCCGTTGCTAGTAAGTCCAATGCTGTTCCATCCTTGTGAGTTCCTGCCCGGAAATCTCAGAATATCTACTCACGAGATCCTTCGATTCTCCTGCCCTTCAAACCACTCCGTTGTCCAGGTCACGTTGCCTGCGAAGATGAAACCGGGGTCGATCATTGAGCCATCGTTGCAGCAGGCCTCAATTATTGTGATCAACTCGAGGCTTGCATCGCGCGCCTTGTACTTCGTGCGATCTCCGGTGGCCGTAAAGTACTTCTTACCGGTGCGTTTGCGACCGCCTCCTTTCTGCCGCCCAGTCTCATCGAAATTCAGGATAACGCGATAGTTTCCGCAGATCTCTCCAAACTTCTCGAAATGATCTTTGACAGTGCCAGGGTTGAAACACTGTGCACGCTTGGGATCGAGAGCGGAGGTTCCACGAAACCGCACCTCCTCGGGGTGCCTGTGAGCAAAGGCAGCGATCCAGGCATCGCTGGGCATCCTCCCGCACAGCTCCTCGACCCTGACCTTCAGCTTTAGGCGGCTCCATGGATGTGCTTCGAGTGCGTCCTTCTTCATCCACTCCACCAGGACTGCCTCTTGAGCATGGGTAAGCAACATCTGATTTTCGTGTGCATCGCGGTGGGACTTATGCAATCCGAGATGGCGGCGGCGCATAGTGTCGTAAGAGAGCATGGGAAACTTCTTGTGCGCAGCAGCATATTGGGGCTTCCCGTCAGGAGACAGATGCGAGTCTAGCCAGGAGACAGCTTCTGCGTAGAGCTCGTTCTTCTGGGCTGGAGAGTACCCGGATAGGTCTCCAAGTCGCTGCCGTGACCTTGCATGAGCTCTAGTGTTTCGACCCATAGGATAGTCAATAAATAGCGAAAAAATTAGGGTAGCTTTAGAATGATATGTTAAGAAGCATAGTCCAGTAGCGCAAGTGGAAAGTAGCCCGATAAAGCGAACGACAGCTTGCTCATTTGCATCATCAGCACCTCCTTCGAGACTGGAAGCGCCCACAAGAGCGGAGATCAAATCAGCAGCACAATTGTCACGCCCCAAGGTGCCTGATTTTGCACAAGTGTAGATGTCGGCCTTGAGCTTGTCCCACACAAAATCGGGTGGGTGAGATGTATTGTATATAATATCCTGAGTTGAATCCATGCAAGATACCGCTGTTTCATGTCGAACTGCAAGCCAGATCTTGATCAGCGCTTAACCCTAGGGGGGTGTATCGACATACAATTGGCCTTCAACATACGACTACTGGATGCTTTGCCAAGATTTTATCAGGAACTTATGTTATAAGAGTGCGTTCATGACATACTTCAACCAGGAGGCCAGAAACTACAAGAGGGACCGGTACTCGGGGTTTTGCAAAACCGCGGGATTTTGCAAAACCCCTTGAGGGATAGTACAAGTGTTGAGTAGCCTACAACGAGGTATGTAAACCTCTGGGATATCGGGCCAGGGAGGTATGAGACCTCCCAGTCACGCATATGATTGGCTGTTAGCCTGGGACATCAATACGGGCGCATCAGATTTTGATAGCTAGAACGGTCTACGTACTCGAGGCAACTTCCAGGAGCTCGAGTAAAAACCGTACTCCCTCTGAGGAGGTCGCAGTAATTGACGAGGCAGCATTTTTCCAACAGATGCAGAGTGTTGTGCAGGCGTGGCGGGTGAGGAACGCGCGACATTGAAGACCACCAACGCCGGCGCTATGGGCGCATCAGCGCGCAATTTTTGATGATCAAAGTGCCCCAATTGGTATTGTGGCGCTTGATGCAAGATTTTAGGGTTTGCGCGAAGAGGACCCGCCATTTGTGCTCCCTCCCCTCCCTCGCTGCGCTCGGGGGGTCCCCCGAGCCGGGAGCACTCAGGCGGGCACTCTAAAGCCTCTGATAAACTCGGGGCTGTGAAGACAAGGATTAGATCCGACTAGAGTCGAAGCAAGATCTTCAGTCAGTAAGGAAAGACTATATTGCAGTAACCAACTGTACCTAGAGTCGAAGCAAGACTACAAAGGTTAAGTAAGTAACTACAAGTTAGAGGTAAAGGTAACGAAGTACTCACTCTTCAGTCAGTAAGGAAAGACTGAAGAGGGAGGACACAATCTGAAGTCCTTATATACTACAGAGAAGTGTCCATGACTAATCGAAGAGTGGTTAGTCACATGTACCATAGTGCGATGAATAATACGATGGTGAAAGAATTGCGACGTATCGCACCATAGGATGAGTAAGAGATGAGTAAGGCATAGACCTGTCTAGACCGTTCTGAAGTAGTACGGATTGTCCTAGACAGTACCAGAAGAGTCCGGAAGCATAGCTATAGTACACGAGCAGAGAGTCCCAAATATGGTAACATACTACATAAGCG